CTCTCTCTCTCTCTCTCTCTCTCTCTCTCTCTCTCTCTCTCTCTCTCTCTCTCTCTCTCTCTCTCTTTCTCTCTCTCTCTCTCTCTCTCTCTCCGTTTGTGTGTCTGTCTCTGTCTCCCTGTGTGTGTGTGTGTGTGTGTGTGTGTGTGTGTGTGTGTGACTATTATACATTATCAGTGCAATTTCTTAATGGATGATGAAAGTGATTGGATGAAGTGGACGAGTGTTAAAATTGAGAATGAAACTGGCATTGATTCCACAGCAAATTCATCTTTGAATCTCTGGTTGACATGTTAACAGGTTTGCTGAATTTTTCTCTCAATTTTTTTTTCTGTGAGTTGTTGCACTGCCCTAAAGGCTCCTATTCAAATTTCAACATAGTTCAACTTGATTCATCTGTTGTAAAATAGTAACAATTATAATGATTCCCAACAGTCCCAAATTTCCACAGAGCGCGTTGGTGTTGAACTATCTTTTTCAGACATCTTTGTGTTCACACCAATGCTCTCTGTGGAAATTTGGGCACACTACCTCTTGTGTGTTGAATAATCATTTTGACCAGATTTGATATCTTGTGTGCCAAACAGTCCCTGGAAATGACTTCCACACAAGACGTCAGAAAAAATCTTGATTATTAGAAAATTCAAAATTCATTAAATGACTTCCACCTGTTATTTTGTTTTCTTTCCCTGACAGGTGAAGCTAGTAAGAGTCACGCATCGCGTGATGGAGGCATATCATGCTCGAATATACTTGAAGGTATGTCAGCACACTACCTCTTGCTCTGCTCACAGCGCTAACTGCCCGGTGAACCATAGCTGCATAAAGGGAGACAACAGGACAAGAAACAGGGGGGCTGTGACAGACGCTCTGTTTTTTTATCCTCCCATCAAACTTTTACCGATACACACATAGATGCATAGTATTACACACACACATACATATATTTATACGTAGTATCACACACACACACACACACACCAAAACAATATATATATATGTAGTATCACACACACACACACACACACACACACACACACACACACACACACACACACACACACACACACACACACACACATGTATACATATTTCTGTTTGACGGTATATACCACGACTTCGATAGCACCCTGCTAAGGTTTCTCCGGTCAGGTTGAGCGTCTGTGGTAGGGGCCGTCACTACGTGGCCATGCTGTGCCTCTAGTGCCAGCGCCGTGTCTGGACTCTGGAGTGTATTTTCTGGCTGTGATTGACCGTGCTTTGTTTCGTGGGTGTTTTGGTGGCTTGTGATGGGGTGTGAACCGACTGTCTGTAGATTTTTCCACCTGGTGTGGGTGAGTGATAGCCTGCTTTGATTTTCGTCACAGCTACCTTGAGAGCAGTGGTTGGTGCCCCTTTGGCAGTCGTTGGTGGTTAACCACACCTGGGGTTACGGTGAATTATCACTTACAGTGTAATCAGTTAGGGGATTCTGCAGACTGTCGAGGGTTCAGCCTCCTGATGAGGCAGTGAAACTCCGACTTAACAGTTTGTCACAGCCCCTCGTTCGTTGTCCTCTTCTCCCTCTCTGCCTACAGTTTACTGGGCAGTTCTGTTTGACGATATATATTGTCAAATAGAGCTGCCGGTAAACCGTAGGCAGAGAGGGAGAAGAGGACAAGAAACGAGGGGCTGTGACATATACATATATGTACCTCGTTTGTTGTCCTCTTCTCTCTCTCTGCCTACGGTTTACCGGGCAGTTCTGTTTGTGACGATATATATATATATATATTATATTGACGATATATATATATATATATGTGATGGGGTGTGAACCGACAGTCTGTAGAGTTTTCCATCTGGTGTGGGTGAGTGATAGTCTACTTTGATTTTGGTTAAGGTAGATTATCATTTACAGTGTAATCAGTGAGGGGATTCTGCAGACTGTTGAG